CAGTCAAAAAATATATAAAAATTATGCAGACCTTTCCCCCAACCCCGGCCATCACTCAGCAATGAAACCTCTGATTGGCGAAAAAATTTCATTTTAAGTTACAACTGCCATTTTCCTTTGAAAATGTCATAAAGATAGCAGTTTTACTCTTTGAAAATGCCAAATTTTCTCGATAACTACCATCATGATGGCATTTCAGACAAATGTTGGCATTTTTTGCTGGTTAGAGCTGGTGGTGTTGGGCGGTTGTTGAGGCGGCAGCAGACGCCTACATTTTGTTTTTAAATTTTTTAATTTTTAAATTTTTTAATTTTTAATTTTATTTTTTTAGTTTCTTATTTTATATTTTTTATTTTAAATTTTTTTGTATTTTTATTAATTTCATTTAATATGGACTATATTTTATTCAATATATATATTTTTATATTTTTATTTTTTACAATTTTATTATAAATTAATTAGTGTTATTTCTTTTATGTTTTAATTGTTAATGAAAGTTGTTGGGGCTTGGGTAGGGGTATACTTGTCCAAACACTAAAGTTACTCCTATTAAAAAAATTGCCTATGTTTTACTCCTATTTTGGGAATTCTCTCTATTACTTATTATCAATGTTCTGAAAGGCGCTAGGCGCTAGTCGAGCGCCAGCCCAGAGCCCAGTGCCTAGGCGGCCAGGCGGGCGCCTAGTCGGGGACTAGTCGGAACTTAGAAATTGCATTTTTATCTATATTTTTGCATAAATATGATAAGTAATATTGTATTCTTGTGTGAATAAAATACATATATACACATACATTATCAATCATGAATGATAAAATTATCACATTTAATCATATGTAGTATATAATAACTAATCACTTAACTTCATTATGTTATAAATATAAATAATAATAAAATTTAGGTATATATACAAACATATATAATATTTATCTTAATTTGCAACTTCATTTCTCTATATCTATGACTAAAGCTAAAGTACTTATATCGCTTAGAAAATTAAAATTAAAAACTAAAGTAATGTTTGACGAATCTAGATGGCCTAGGCGGCTGATTAGGCGCTCTTGGCGGGCAACTAGGCGCCATAGGCGACCGACTAATTCACCTAGACGGTAAACCAATTAGTCGGAACGCCTAGACAAAAATTGGGGCGCCCGACCACCGCCTAGCGCCTAGGCGGGGACTAGTCGGACGCCTAGAACGATTTTTAGAACAGAGCTTATTATTAATATTGTTTTTCCTAAAATATTATCAAATAAAAATGTATGGACACTAACATAATTATAAGTTACTATGAGTAAATTTTATAGTTACTGTAATGTAGCATTTGAATACAATTATAGTCATTAAAGTTATTTGTGCCACATTTTTGTCTACTTTTATTTTGATTATATATTTGGATTATTTCTTTATAATGACCATTATTAATACCTATTGTTTATGAAACCTAGAATATTATTATTATTATTATTATTATTATTATTATTATTATTATTATTATTATTATTATTATTATTATTATTATTATTATTATTATTATTATTATTATTATTTTCTGAACCTGTTATGTATTATCATTATGTAATTAATATTAGTATTATAAATTATAAATGAGAATATGTTTTATCTCTATGATTTTAATATAATACTACGTATATAATTACACATATTTCATATTTTAATTTTTAACCAAGGTTGACTGGGTTTTTCGCCCATTGACCGGGTTGGACCTCCGGATATGGGTTGACCTTTGACCTAGTCATTCATCCGGTTGTCATCCAGCCCGGTTTCGCCAACATAGCAAGTTCTTCCCTAGCTAGGTCTCTTCGCCGGTAACTGTTTCTGTCGCCGGTTAATCCTCGATTCTTTTCTCTTTCTTGGACTGCCTTATCTAGGGGTGAACCGGGCCCGATTCGGGCTCGACCAGACTTGGTATTATGTGAATGAAGCCCGGGACCGGCCCGGGTGTTGGCCGGTACCGGACGGTTCTATTTAATGTTTTTAGTTTATCTTATTTATTCCAACCCCCAAACCCCGCCAGAACACCCACCCATCCCCCCTAAACCCAGCCTAAACCCAAAAAACCAAAAAAAAAAAAAAAATAGCTTGGACCGGCCGGTCCCCAAATATCTAGACCCAGACCCGCCCCCATACCCCCCCCCCCCCCCCCGTCAGGCCTAGGCCCGGTACCGGTATACCGGGCCGGTCGGACCGCACCCGGGCCAAGCCTAGCCTTATCCCTTCACTACAGGTTTGTGCTTCTAAGGTATGGATTTTCTATTATCTAAGAGCAAACATGATTAGACTATTTGATGAATTTGTTGGTTTCTCATTCATTTGATGAATATAGTTTTGTTTGACGTCTTTATCATAAGAGAAATGATCTTTGGTTGAAAATTTATTTATGGTCTACTGAAATTTTATGACATGATGTACGTAGTTAAGAAAGATTATAGATGGGGAAGTTTATAGAGATCTGTTTGTTACCCGCCAATTCACATTCTTGGGTATCCTATTTAAAAAAAAAACATACAAGCACAGCAACTGTAAAGTGTAAACACATGTATAAGCCCTCTCCAATTCCGGAATCTGCCGAACACCATAAGCATCAACGTGGGGAAAATCAATTGACAAAAAATCAAAAACATTGTGAAATATAAGCCTTATTATTTATATTCTTAGGGGTGTTTGGATCTGATTCTCAAAACTGATTCTGCTCCTTCAGGGAGCAGAAGCAGAAGCTGGAGTGTTTGGGTGAAATTCCAGAAGCACTTCTGGAGCTCTAATTTACTCTCAGAATCAGTTTTTTTAGAAGCTGGGGGTACCAGCTTCTGAAAACTGATTCTGATTCTGCTTCTGCTTTTAAAAAAGAAGCAGAAGCAGAATCAGTTCCAAACACCCCCTTAGTTTATGACTGCAGGTGTGATGGTTCAATTCGATTGAAGCCAGCTTCTTCAGCACATCTTAAGAAGAGGAGTGTCATACCGGGTCATAGCTCACTTGATAGGAAGAGGTCTCGAGTTCAACTCCAAACAATTGGGATGGAAATATGGAATCACACTCTTTTTCCATTAGAGCGTCATCAAAGCTGAATTTCATCATTTATCTTATTAAACTTTGGCCCTATTGCTACTGTCTTGTGTTTGTGATGTTAACCGCTCTGAAACAGGAAATTGGTCTAATTTATTTATAGATTGTTTTTTCTATTTCCGAGAAAGATTAATATATGTGTGTGTATGTGTGTCACACACACATATATATTCTGCACAATCTTAATATTTATTGAAATACTAAAGTCATTATAATAAATATTTTCTATTAACATATTGTATGCGCTTTAATGAAATCTTATATTTTTCAGTCACCCTTTCTGCTATTTTTGTCAAACATATATACTTAATTCAACTAAGAGTTCAGATTCAACATTAGTCTCTCGCTTCAGCTCTTAGTTTTACTCTCCAGCTGCAACTCAGTGTCAAATAGCCTATCTATGATATTTGCACCTGGTTTGACATATATTCTTTCCAAATATAGGAATATTTGCACCCAGTTTGACTACCATTGGTAAAGTCCATCCTCTAATATGATGGACATGTTTGTAGTGATCTACACAATATTAGAGTGCAGTGTACGAGTTCTGATGAGATCAACTAGGATGTATTATCATTTCTCACATTAAAACTACTTGTCATCTGCATACTACCCAGTATCGTTCAAAACATGTAGGTAGGAGTAGCAAAGCAAACTTATATTGCTATAAAAACCAATTCATTCAAAGAACGAAATGCCAACACCTACCTACAACAGCCCATCGAGGTAAGAGCAAGAAAATCCTCACGAAGATGCTATGCATTCAACAAAATACCATTTAGGTGAATGGTTACAGAGGCCATCTAAGCTACGCTTGTCAGTAAATTTTTTTAAGGTGATTCAGGCTTTTGTTAAACCTTTACTTGGTCAAACTCAGCAAAAATGTCCTGATTCAATTGCCCCTCTCTCCGGAAACAGTCTCTCTGTACTTTAGTACAGGGGTAAGATTGCGTACATCCGACCCCCTTACCCCACCGTAGGTGGGAGCCTTTGCGGCACTGGGGTAAATGAAAATGATTCAATTGCCCCTCTCTCAGAAACTACTCACTTTCAGTTCTTGTTTCGGTAGGTATTCATTCAGATCCACCATAGTAACTCCACCTTGAAGTTATGATGGGGTGGTTCATTTAGTATTACCCCTCTCAAGTTTAAAATCATCCTGGACATAGTTAAAATTAGGGTTTGATTGGACGGAGGGTTTCAGAAGTGTACGGAGAGGCGCTTTTGAGGAGGGCTTGGCAGTCAAATATGTCTTGACATATATATACATAGAGGAATGATCCTGTCCAGCCGGAGGGACAGGATCTTCCGTCCGGCCGCCGCCGTTTGGGGCGGTTCCCGATGGGGTTTTTTGATGAAATTTTTATGGAATGTTCCTCGTCAAGTCTAGTTTATCCACAAAAACTTTCAGCTAAAAATTCGATCGGGAAGGCAGTCAAATAATTTTTTGAAGATAGCTGCGCCAAATTAAACACATAAAACGCAGTTATGTTTCAAAAAATTATTTGACTGCCTTCCCGATCGAAATTTTGGCTGAAAGCTTTTGTGGATAAACTAGACTTGATGAGGAACATTTCATAAAAATTTCATCAAAAAACTCCACCAGGAACCGCCCCAAACGGCGGTGGCCGGACGGAGGATCCTGTCCCTCCGGCTGGAGGGGAACTTTTCCGTATATACATATATATAATGTGATTTTACAAACAAAATTTGAAAAGTTAGTTGGTGACCATATATATAACATGTCAATTGCTCTCTTTTAAAAAGATTCATTATATCGAGATATAGTAGACGAAGTCCTCCCCTCCATCCCAATAGACCCTTAATGGTGTTGGACATGAAAGCTCCAGATAATGATGTTATGCTATGACACGAAGTCCTCCCCTCCATCCCAATAGACCCTTAGACATTCAGAAAGACAATGACCAAGCTAAGAAAACAAAAGTTAGCAGTCGCTAGTATTTAAAGCAGACAATCTCGGGAGTCTACACCACACCAGTGAAATTATTGATCATAAGCAGCATGGGTCAAGGGAAAAGAAAGGTACAAACAAAACATGGCATCAACCCTCAAGGACAGAATCCAAATTCAAATCACTCATCAAGATGCAATTTAAGAAAACAGAGGAAAGAGCGAAAAATAAATACTCAGTACAAAAGAACCTCTACAGGGCTCTGAGCAAATCCTCAGCACTGCTTACATTGAAAGCTCCACCTTCTTCCAGATTCAACACCTTCACAACCCCATCTTCCACAAGCATGGCATACCTCCTGGACCTCACACCAAGCCCAACGGGCTTATCACTCAGGTCCAGCTCAAGCCCGATCGCCCTAGTAAACAGTCCATTCCCATCGCTCAACATCAAGACCTCATCTTTGATCCCCAAATTCTCCTTCCATGCCTTCATCACGAAAGCATCGTTCACTGACACGCAAGCAATGGTGTCAACACCCTTGGATTTGATCTCAGGCGCCTTGTCTACAAACCCGGGAAGATGCTTCTGGGAGCAGGTGGGCGTGAAGGCGCCAGGGACGGCAAAGATGATGGCTTTTTTGCCAGAAGTCAGGTCGAAGACGGAAATGGATTGGAGTTCGTCGGAGGAATCGAAATAGGACAGCGTGGCATTGGGGAGCTTATCACCAACGGAGATTGCGGCGGAGATTCTTGTGGTGGTGGAGAATCTTAGTGGGCTTTGATGGCCGCGGCGGGGAATTATGCGATGAGGGAAAGATAGGGATCTGGGGGAAATGGTAGACAGAGATTTGCAGGGGGAGGTAGGCTTGAGTAGCCTTGAGATGGCGGAAGAAACAGCGGCTGCGGCTGCCATTTGTTTGATTCTTGCTCAGTTCTTTGGATGTGTATGGCAGAAGTTCCAGAAATACTCCGTATGTATTTTGCGTCTTTGACACAAGGAAGATAAAAAACACAGATTTTTTATACACTTTTTCTTGGTGGGTGAATGAATATACACGCAGGGTAGGAAAAACCGACTCACAACCACATATGAGAATGATCCGAGTTTTATTTTAAAAATACCCGACCCGAAACTTGGGGCTTTATCCGGGCTCTAAAATTTTAAGCCTGATCCAGATCGAGAAAACCCGATTTAATTAAGAAACTAAAAAATATTCTCTCTGAAACAAGTTCAACCTTTCCTTTTTGGGGAGTCATTGAATTAAGTTCTCACTTCATTATATTTTTTTATTTGGCAAATTATCTATATCAAAACAGTGTCAAACAGTGTCAAGCAGTGTGAAACTGTGCCAAAATGTGTCCAAACAGTGTCAAAACAGTAAAGCTTACCCCCTAGTAAATTTATTTCCTTAATATGTGTGAAATTCATCTAGGAACTTTTTTTGGGGACGGATGGAGTATGTTTTTTTAAGGAAAAATTGAAAGTAATAATCCCAACTATTGACGGTTCGCTCATAATAATCCCAATTATTGATTATTACAGAATAATCCCAACTTTAGGGACCTTCCGCCAATAATGGTCCCTATGAATAAATTCTTGTAGTTTCTAAAGTGGATGAGATGAGAAATAACAAGTGATCCCTATAAATAATCTCAACTTTTAATTTTTACGCTTAATTTCTATTTAAAATTCACTTTTTATAGAGGTAATATATGATTATGGACCATTATTGGCGGATAGTCTATATAGTTGGGATTATACAAAAATAATCAATAGTTGGGACTATTTTCAGCGGACCAGCAATAGTTGGGATTATTATTTTCAATTTTTCCTTTTTTTAAAAGGAAACTTTTATTAATAAATAGAAAAAAAGAAAAGTACAGGAAAAGAGGAAAAAAAGACAAAAGAAAAAGGAAAGCAAATTGAAACAAAATAACAGTAATACCCAACCCAAAGAATAGCAAAAGCCCTCCCAAACTAAAACTTTAACCCTTAGCCAACTCCTCATCGCTCTGCACGTGTTTGAGATCTAGTTCTCATAAGATGAGATCTTTGATTCCTCTTCGTGTACATTCTTTTTTGAGTGTTCAAATTCTTAGTTGGCACACAGTTGTCTGGCGTGACCTATAGAGCTTTTTGACAAATCATCTCATTTGTATCTGAATCCCAAAGATCATCCACCGTTGAAATAGGAACCCTCTTTTCATTTTCTGAGACATGATCAAGAAATTCATCCTCCGAAAATATGGAGTCTGAGCCGCCATAAGCCCCCTAACGGTCAAAAGCTTCAGTAAGGTTACCTGTAGGATATACGGAAACCCTTCCTTGAATCTAAAATTCCTATCCCAGTATCATTTTGTTCCGAAGCATTCTCTTTTCCGTCATGACCGGGTCCCAAGGTCAAATTACCCAAAGTAGAAGTAAGAAGTCTCTCAAATTCAAAAAGTAGATATTGAGAAAGTGAGTTCACCCCATTCGTCAAAGCGTCCTGAAAGAAATCTTTGAGTGTAGACTCATCATTGTTTTGCTCAGAGTTGTGAATATCTTCTACACAAACCAAATCCAAAGAGCAATCTCCAAGATGATTAATATCCGCTTGAAATAACACACCCGAAATGGAGAGCTCAACTTCGCGGGAGTGATAATCCCCATCATAAGGTAGAAAGTCCAAATTCATATTAGAACCCCACATATCCGGAAAAGCATCTCCTAAATCATGTTTAATTGCTAATTTTTTGGAATCAAATGAGTTCATCAAGGTAATTGCTTTTGTAATCCCTGAAAGAAAAAGTTTAATCCCTTGTCCATTCCTACCCTCTGGAATAAAAAGAGAATCCCGTCTCTTTTCAATAATTCGGATGAATCCTCCAAAGAAATTAGCATCATGAAAAGCAATAAGGGAATTATGCAGCTCCATCCTAGTACCCAAAAATCTATTACCCGAAAATATCTTGAGTATGGAGTATGTATTTTTATATATAATATATATGGACTATTAATGCTTCATACCTTATATTATACCTGAAAATTTATTAGCAGCTACAATTAGTACAATGATCAAGCTCAAGATCACTTTTTTACATTTCGTCAATCAAACAATTTTATTATTTTGCTTTCGAACTAATCGTTCTTCTACAACATTTTTTCTTGTGATTTTTAGATTAAGAAAGTGCTTAAAACTTAGACGAAGTGCATAAATAGGACTATTATTGTTTTGTCCAAAGAATATGACTCTCTTAGTCCTAAATGGGGAAGTTTTATACTTTTAATAGGACCAACTAAGTCATATTTTGGAAATGAAACACATGTAGTCGCATGTGTACATTTTGTCTATGTTTTAGTCCTACTTGAAGCAATTTCTATTTTAAATTCAAGTTATTCTTTTTTTTTTGATATATGTTATTTGATTAGAAGCAAAGATATGTGCAATGTTTGTTGTGAGTGTATTTCAATTTTTTTTGACTTACCAGTTCGATTTTTTCCGGGTTCAACCCGACCCAATGCGAATCTGAGGCTCTTAAAACCCGGACCAGTCCAAAACTATTGTTCCTCCAATCGGGCCCAAACATGTAGAACCCGAAGATTTTCAGTTTTTTTACGGTCCTAACCAAAACCCGACCCAATCCGAGCCGATCACACCCCTATATATACGGTGTAAACAGTACGAGCGATAACATTTTTGTAAACTGAGTTATAAATGAATGATGTGTCACTTTTTTATTGGTTGTCAAAAATTATATTATCACTACTTACTAAAACATTAGTTAATATACGGTTACCCACAATGCTTAATATGGGGCTGAATTTTTGGGTAAAGTAAAGTTATACATTTAACTAGTGTAATGCCCGGGGCATGCCGTGGTAGTACCATATTATAGTGTCATGTTAATATAAATTACTAGAAGTTATGAGTTATTTACATAACATGTTATTAGCATTTTAAATGTTGAAAAAAGAAATAAGTTTATTGATATCTTGTTAATAAATGAGAAACATATATGATTTTAAAGAATTTATGTATATATGATTTATAGTTATTTTGGTATTAGACTTATTACTAATTTTTTTGTGTGTATGAGTGCATTAGTCCTAATAGATATTAATGTGTGAAGCATTATTCATGTGCTTTATAAGAAATATTAAAAGGTTCATGTGTTTTTCTTAAGTTTTAATAAAGGTAAAGGGAAATGAAAATAAAGAGAGTTTTGTGAGTTTTTATTATGATTCTAACCGGTTCTAAACTTATCACTATAGAAAAATTGATGTTTATTTTAGGAGTTGATAAATTAGTTATAAAAGTATTTTTTGATTGTCCATATATATTAGGTCCATATATATAATAACTTTTCAATATATAATTTCACTGTTACATATTGCATATTGATATTATATGTTTCTTTAATCGTAGTCAAGTGGTGTAATACATTGTAGTTATATAACCTATAAATTTTTGTTCTTATTTTAAAAAATAAAGACATAATCTCCTTCTATATCAATATATAGCCTTGTTACAACCACTTACTCCAATCTCCTTCACTCTATCCTTAGCCACTATGATAATATAAGTGTAATACGGATTTTTCAGAAGTATTTACAGAAATGTCACCGTGCTAGATTGTATATTTCAGTGCATCATGAAGTATCTTTTACTGCAACTTAGTCGAATCCAATGGCTGAGATTCATTCTCACTTCTCAGTTCTCACCTAATTAAAGAGTTCTTCTCACTTGAACCTTACCCTAACAACGTTTATTATAAAATATCTTTCAGAATAAGGCATTGCAAAACGCACGGAATGTAAAATATTGATAAGCGATGAGAGAACATTTTAAAGTGTATTAAATATGAAAATATTTTTTTATCGTCAATTTGTAAAAACAAAAAATTGAAGTGAACTACAATAGAACCTTGTACACATAACCTACACATTGGTTTAAGTTTAAAATTGATTTAAATGGTTAGTGACTATAATATGAACATTATAGCAACTACTGTATAATTTAAATATCATGGTATTGGAATGTGGTTACTATGGTATTTCAATTCTAAGATTGATTTAGATGGTTAGTGGACTATAATATGAAAATTATAAAAAGGAAGGCTTTCCGGAGATGTTCATGTTGTTCATTGGGATGATATAATATATAATAAGTTATTTAATAATATAATATATTTATTAAAATAAAATGATCGATGATGGTTTAAGATTGAAATTGAATAGCAGTTTTTTTTCCTTCGAAATTTCAGCACGTTTTTTTTTACTTTTATAGATGTTATGCAACTTAAATATCGTCACTTAAAAGTAGCTCATAACATAAGTTGGTTTGCCTTATGCTATTGACATTATCCCATTGAGTGAACAATGTTACATGCAAAGATCAATTATGCTTTTGATTTGAGATCTTTTCGATACAATCATATTGCATAATGGCAGACGGGTGAGAAACCACCATAGTATTACTTGTTTTTTTCTTTGGACTATGGTCCCGTTTGTTTTTTCAGCGGATTGGTGCTACCCGCTGCATTTTGCAGCGTTTCATAGTTCAATTTTTCAGCGGTTACCCGCTATTATCCAAACGGGCACATTATGTCCTATTGTAATTGTGGTTTCTATGATATTTGTTGCAAAATATGTAATTAATTATAGTGTTGGTTAATTATAGGTAATGAGCACGAATGAAGAAGTGTTGAATTGAAATATGGAGACTTCGGATGAACAAAACCTATGCTCTATCTATACATGATTTGTACATGTAAATATTATTTATTTATAGATAAAAACAGATTGAGTTTATCATTATATTAGTCTCTCAGAAAAGGGCTGCTTTTATGTTGATGAACAAATATTATTATCATTCAATTGAGAGATATTTTAGAGCCCGTTTGGTAACTCTATTTTTCGATTTATCGATTTTATCAATCAACTTTTCATCTAATATGGGGCTGAATTTTCGATACAGTAAAGTTATACATTTAATACTCCGTAGTTCATCTAAAAACTAAAGTTATATTTGGATTTGATTTCTAAAGTTAAGAAATTTTTAGAAGACCCCTTTTCAATAATAAAAAAATAGAAGACTAAATAATTACTACTATACACTTAGTATCGGCAATATTGTTGGAGTTTGTAAATCCCAAAAGTGATGATATATTTATATTGAATTTCTAAAGTTAATGAACGTTTTTTTCGTTATTTATTACAACAAATCATAGTTTTGCGGCTCTCTCTAGATTACGCCGCCGTCTAGGGTTTCCCTAGGGTTTGTCTAGGTTTTTTGCCTAGGGTTTTGTCCAGTGGCGGTTGTCCGACCGCGGCACCGGTTTTTGTTTGAATTTTCTGCTTTTGGATTCGTTTCTTGGATTTTTTAGGGCGGTGGAGCGGATTCCTTCTGAGCCAAATTGGTAATCCAGCTTTGGGAAGGGTTTCGATCGCAAAGAGGGTCTGGTTCGATGGATATGGTGCTGAGACGGGCGGCGGCTGATTCGAGGCGGCTGGATCGAAGGAGCCTCGAGCTGCGGCAAGGGGCTGGCAGAAGGTTCAAGCAACAGTTTTGCATGGAAAGCTTTGTGGACAAGTACAAGACGATGGTGAATGAGGCAGAGGAAGAAGAACTGGATCTAGATGATGCTGATGTTGAGGTTGTGACGGATGAATGGCGGGCACGTCCCCTCCTAAGCCGCCGCCATGGAGTACAAACAAATCTAGGGTTTGGAAGAAGATGGGTGAAATCTATTTTAATTCCGTTTTATTCAGTTTGTGTCTTTCTGTCGAATCGCATGTTGTGTTGGACGTGTTCTTTTTTCCTAGCAGAAATATTCTTGAGTTTAGGTTAGGTGATGAGAAGTCTGGTTTGCCAGTCATTGGCTCAGTTAAGCCCATTACAGGATCAACGAATGTTATTGCTTCTACAAAGGTGATAGATTCTCAGTCTGGTTCGAGGGCGGACGGCAGACATAAAGCTTTTTATCGTTTTGTTTACTTCTTTCTCTTTGATTGTATTATCAGCCTTATGATAAACGTTATTTTGATTTAATATATTACTTGGACTATTTCATTCAAAAAAGTTAATGAACGTTTTAGAAGGACAAATAATTAGGTAAGTCTCTTATACTTGGGGTAGGAGTGCATTATTGTAATTGTGTTTGAAAAACGTTACTTCTGTTAATTAAGCATCAATGTTATATTGAGAGGCCTGATCTGTTGAATATTAAGAATCTAATAATATTGAACATTGTAATATTTGTTTCATATTTTCTAATTCATTTTTTTCTTTTTTTCTTTTAACAATTTTTTCTAAATCTATCATTTTATATAAGTGAAATAACAATAAGTTAGATTGATGTATATGATTTTGTTTGATGTATATCATTTTATATAAGTGAAATAACAATAAGTTAGATTGATGTATATGATTTTGTTTGGTATGGCACTTCCAATAAGTCCATATGTATGAGAACATTATAACGTGAATAATATTACGAGTACCATTATTGAATACCTTTATTAATAAAAATTCAATAAATATTGTTGATGTATGATAAACTTTAAATGGATTTGTGAATCTTGAAATCCCAATTGTTCATCAATAAAATTGAACAACCTAAAAAACATTAACACTAAAGATTTGTACGATCATCACATTACCAATCATAATTTACATCAAAAGTCAAGCTAATTTACATCACACTACTTTCATTCCCTACAATCGTGCAACACGACATTTGGAGCAAAGGAATGAGAGAAAAATATCTTAATTTTTAAAGTGACACGAATTTTTATTCTTGCTCCAATTTTTACAAAACAAAATATCAAAATTTATATCTTTTTATGATCTTTTATATGATATAAATATTTCATATAAATAAAACTAAAACATATTATCTATTGTTTTATATAGTAAAAATGAATTAAAAAATCTATTGATTAATAAAAAATTATATCATCATTACCACTAAAACATTTAATTCATTTAAGCTGACTTGGTTTCAACATTGCTATTAACTTCGTGCATCATTGCTCAAATGGAGAAAAGGAAGGAAAAAATCTCCTTTTTAAAAGCGTTCTAACTTTTTGGTTTGTACTCCAATTTTAACAAAAAAAAAACATTATAATTCATAAACTTCTATAATCTTTCATATGATAACAATATTGTATATATAAATATAAAACATAGTGTCTTAAATACTTCAAGAGTTTATTCAAAAAAAATACTTCAAGAGTCAACATTTCATGTTTGCTAACGCACAAGTTTGACCATTAGTAAAAAAAAATTAAAAATTCATATTTTGAAAATTTAGAATGAGAAGAATTTAATAATATTTCTTAAAAATTTAATTTATAATACATTAGTAAATAAAATAAAATATAGTCAAAGTAAAATGTGTGAATAGTGCAAAAAGTTCAATATTGCAATTAAAAGAGAACAGAGGTAGTACTATGTAATTCATACAATTAAGTTAAAAATCAATGGTGTCTCAATCTCGTATTGGTCAATAAAACATTTATCATCATTACTACTAAAACATTCATTACATCACTATTATTTACTCACTGCGTCATTTCTATTCATTTTAATCACGCCAACTCATTTGGAGACAGAGAAGGGGGAAAACGTCTATTTTAAAGTGCTATATTTACTCCAATTTTCACATAAATTATATCAAAATTCAAAACTCTTTATGATCTTTCATATGAAATCAATATTGCATATATAAAACTAAAAACAAAAATTATTTAAATTGATAGATATAGTAGAATCAATTAAATAAATGCATTCATTTTTTTTTGCAATTCAATATCAATGATAGCTACTTCTCCATTCTGCAAATCTTTGCTTACTTTCTTTATTTAATTCTCCTAAAAATTGTCGTTCTCATTTAAAGTAATAAATATGAGTAAAGTTAATTTTATGATCTCTGCACAAATTTCAACCACATTTTTTATTTTCAAATCCCACATGCAAGTCAGTTTTGAAAGAATTTTATGAGGGAAGCACTAATTTTTATCATTGTATTTCATATGATCTTTTTAGTCGGATTCATCCTGCTTCAATATGAAGTAGTACTTTACTTTTTATTTTAAAATTAGAACATACGATAGTATCATTTTTCTAACTTTATTATCTTATGCCTCTTAATTGATTCTTCATGTGTATGTTCCTAATGTTTTTCTAATAATTTTATTTATATTTATTATTTTATCCTCATTTTTCCAATGCTGTATTCATAACTTACACCTATAAATTAACTTGCACTTGATTATTGATTGTTATTAAGTTGAGTAATTAAAAAATGCTTCGTTAATTATGATAATAATAAAAAATCACTCCTTTTGGTTCCAAATGAATTTCTTTTGGGATCTCCAACAAATTCTCTTTATATAGTATACATATAAATATAAAGATAAAAACGTAAAGAAAACCCAAAAAAAGAAAGGAGAGTGAAAAGAAAATTATGGGAGAATACTAATCTCGGGAAATTTACATGAAACAAACTTGATAGTCAAGCTGTGTTGATGGACGAAACAAATCGCTCCATTGCCTCTTCTTACACAATGACCTACAGAAAAGGTCATCCCTTTTGAAAGCACACTCATCACACATACATTACATCTACACTCCTTGCCCTGCCTCCAACCAACATGGATGCCAAATCTAGCCGTTCCTCCCAGTCTGATCAATCAGGGTCCCGACAGGCTCTCCGCTCAATGCCCTTGATATATTCCCAGGCTCATGAAGATTAAAAATAACAACTGCGAGGAAATGTTCGAAATGAAACTAGCGTCAGGATCCCTTTTTTCCAAACCTAAACCAGGTAAACGCCCCTAGCCCTTACTTTGGTGGTTTACCTCTTGAGTTATAAAAGAAAACAAAATGACTAACCACTTCCACTTGATCTTCAACGCTTAATTTTCTTGTCTAATTCTAGAAACTATGGTAATTATTGGTATCGACAGCTATGGAAGTTGGTGCAGTTGTTAAATGTCTATGTCGCACAACACACACAAGCTTAGATGAGAAGCTGCAAAAGAGCTGAAAGCTGATAAACGTGGCTAGTAACTAAAAGCTAAAAAGATCCAATTGTTTTGTTAAAGAAATAACGGCCCTAATATTACGATCCACCTTTTACTAGACAAATATATGACTAAATTCTTATTTGGCAAAAATGTGACCGGCTAAATTAAAACATTCGCTGGCTTCCAATTTCTTCTGTTTCTTTCTTCCTGCGCTCGAGCAATACATCCACGCATACATGAGCTCCTCTGCGGACAGAGCAACTGGACACCTCTTCCTCGCCAGGTCTTCGTCGTCCTCGCGTCGACAGCGTCGCTGTCACCGCCCTTCGCAGACGGAGTCAACGGATCATTGCCGTCCTCTCCCTGAATGTTCATATCTGTGATAGCTAGGGCAATTTCGGTCCGACGGCGTGCGATTTCGATCCCAGGTCGGCAAAAATGGGCTGGCGGCTAGAGTTAATGGCGGAGGTTGTGGGTTGACTGTTGGGGGCTACGATTGGGGACTGCCGGTTAGGTTTGTGGGCTGAGGGCTGGGGCAGGTCAGGTGGTGTGGGGCAGAGATGATGGGGATGGGGCAGGGGCTCGTGGGGGTGGGGCGTGGCTAGGCTGGGCAGGGCTGGAGTGATGAGGGCAGGGCGCTGGGTGAAGGGCTACGGTGGGGTGGGGTGTTGGGCAGCTCTTGTGCAGGGCTGGAGGCTGTGCAGGGCCGGAGGCTGTGCAGGGCCTGGAGGCTGGGGATGGTGCTGGTGGGATGGGGGAGGGGGCTGGTGGCTGGGACGGGGCAGTGACAGTCACTTATCGGGGACAACATCAGTCACTGGTTAGAGGGCATAGTCACTGGCTGGGGGCGGCGGTGGGAGCCACTGGACGGGCGGTGACGGCGCTAGTCACTAGATGGGTGGTGACGGCGGGAGTCACTCACGGGTGGCGACGGGAGTCACTGCAGTACTGCACACGGTGATGGGAGTCACTATTCTGGGGCAGTGGTGGCGAGAGTCACTAGACGGGCGGCTGTGGTCACTGGTTCGGGCGGCCATAGTCACTAATCGAAGTGGCGGCGGAAGTCGGGTGGTCACTATTTGATGATTTAATTCCAGTCACTAAAATTGCAAGTCACCAATTAGTTACTTGGAAGTCAAGAATTAGTTGCGTCAACATCACTAGTTATCAAAACTATTAGCACTTAAACGAATCAACAACAATTAGTTACTTGTAACTATGAACCTCACATCATGAATACACACAACGGGTCAACGACACAACATAAAATAGTTACTTAGACATGTGTATTTGACTATTTGCTATACCAGATTATTAGTGCTTAAAATAAGAAATCCAATTAGTTACTTGGAAGTCATGATTTTGTTGCTAACTACGTACTGTTCCATTTTGTTTCTGTCCTGCACCCCTTAATTAAATTAAAAAGAAGTAATCAAATACAAAAATATGGTATTTGATTCTAGCTGTCCGTTACTTCTTTCCTAAGTTTCAGGATTTCAGTTACGAAAATATGGCCATGTATCATCAATGGAATTCTTTCCTAACTTTTGGCATTAAAAGTCATTAACGGGATGTCATTTCAAAGCCAATTTTTTCGTTTGTTTCTAACTGATCGGGGGTCATATTTCTGGACTTTAAAACCTCTAGTCACTTTATTGGCTATCCGTATATTAAAAGTAATATTGATAAAAAAAAAAGGCCTTTGTTAAAACAGCTAATTTATTTATGGAAAACACAAAGGAAGCCTAATTTTGATTATATAGATGGATGAAGGGTATGACTTTTGTGAGAAAATTAGGTTACTACTGCACATAAATAAAAGGCTGGAAGCTCATTCCAGAAATGCTACGGGTGATCACGCGGATAAGACCTTGTTTTACGCTCTTATTCTATTTATTACCAAATAGGGCTAGTACCTTATTTGGAGCTAAAAGTAAGTGCGAAGCTCCCAAATAAGCTCCACCAAACATACTCCAAGGGTGCAGCATGTAGTTAGGGTTGGTTATTAGGCAAAAAGGAATGAATTTGTTGGAACTTTTAGAGGAAAATGATTTGGTTACATCCATTTCAGCCAAATAAGTGAGTCAAAAGCTATTAATCACTATGATGAGAAGAATAAGCTGATTGTGGCTACCAAATGAAACCCAAATGAGGATTGAAGATATACTAACCAGGAATATGATTCTCCTCGCAGCAATTAACAGCCATCATGTCAATGGGAGCAGCACCTTTGGAAGCAAGATCTCGGTAGGATACATGTTCTGCTGCTAGGTTGTTACTTCTCGAGTCACAAATATAGACACCCTCCACATTTGTACCTTTCAGCATGGCATCAGCGTGAACTGTGGAAACAGGAAGAAACAATGAAAGTGACAGTAAACACCCTCTAACAGAAGGGGAAAAGATTCTCATTTAACAGCCATTATTAGCCATACATACTCTCAGAAGCTCTAAGAGCTGCAGCTGTATCTGTCGTGAACAATGAAATTCCGGTACCAGCTCCAATACCGCCAAAAATTACAACTCTACCCTTTTCAAGATGTCGGATTGCTCGTTGCCTGTTGTATGGCTCAGCCACCTCTGGCATAGAAAATGTGCTCTGCAGACGAGTCTGCACACCCAGTTTTTCCAGTGCTGACTGCAGGAGTATGGAATTCATCAAAGTTGCCATCATCCTATGACATATTGGAGGAAATCAAGGACATAATCAGTTAAGACTTAAGAGAATACTGGCAATTACCACTGTCAGGGTTCGCTTAGAACTAGGAAAATATCTCCGAATAAAGTAGGAAGCAAAATATATTTAGTTTAATATATCCCACCTATCATTAAATTACAAATCTATCATGTTTATTTATCTTTCATCATCAAAAACTCGGAGTTTATGTCTATCTTTCTTCAAACTCATACTTTGGTCATTATTTAAAAGTTCAAATGTATATCACAATTAATACTTTTTACACTTCTATTTAATTAAATAATATTTAATAATTATTTATTTGATTTTTCTCCATACTTTTAACAAGAATTTAAATCAAGTTAAGAATAAATCGCAGTACGAATGCACAATAATCCTATCTAATGCAACCTTATCTGATGCACTTTTTGAAAAGTGCATCAGGTAAAGTTTATTTAAAAAGTGCATTTCATAGGGTTATTGCGCATCAGATTGAAAATTTGGACGACTGAGATTAATTCTTATTTTACACGTTAAGACTTTTTTTTATTTGACCCAAACTCTCTCTCTCTCTCTCTCTCTCTCTCTCTCTCTCTATATATATATATATATATATATATATATATATATATATATATATGGGAGGGTTCTAGTGAGAACCCTTCCTAAAATGAGAACTCTTTATAATGAGAAATTTAAATCTCAACCTTTCATTTATTGCAATCATTGGTTATGATTCACATGGGGTCATATTCATAATTACCACAAGTTCTCATTTTAAAATGAGTTCTCATTTTAAAGGGGGTTCTCACTAGAACCCTCCACCATATATATATATATATATATATATATGGGGGAGAATTCATATACAACGAGACATTCTCAAGCAAAGTCAGAATAAATCTTGTGTATTCAATTCAGGATCAAATGGCTTAAAATAAGCCAAAAATGCACCAGATTTGATAAAAAATGTGGTGAAAATTTCGTAAATAAATCAAAGTTTTTTGTCAGAGAAAAAGTGCAACAGACATGAAATAGTGCATCGCATTGAGCGAAATGTGAAACCATTCACACTTTGCACGGGAACACCACTTTTTTATCGAAAAAGCACAATGTTTTTAAATAATTTATTTCATCATCATTATTACCCCAGTGCCGCAAAGGCTCCCACCTACAGTGAGGTAAGAGGGGGTCGGATGTACACAGTCTTACCCCTGTACTAAAGCACAAACAGACTGTTTCTGAATGACCCATAGTGAAAATCGCGTCGAAAATTGCATGGATTGACCGCTGCTTCATAAGAAAGAAGCGCAAACAGTTTAGTGAGCCATTTTGCTTTAGGGGAAAATAATTTAAATATCCCAAACTTTGAATGGGTGTGAGGCAAGCACCCCAAACTTGCACATGTAATATATATACCTCAATCTTTATATAAAAAGTTATGTTAGTACCATACTACCATGATCATAGTTTTATCACCAATATAACTTTATGGTGTTAAGTATACAATTTAAAATACACAAAGCATTTATGAGGATGTAATAATTAAAATTAGATTTTACCTGATTAATATTATTTATTTCACAAATGAAATTTTAGAATGTTAACTACATTCAAATAAAGCTTTGATTATTTTAATTATGTACTTATTGTAATAAATTTGTATTTGTAAAAAACATATAATCATGGGGCGAAATTAACTTTTTATAATGACCAGCAGACGCACTAGCACAACCACCTGCACCCCACCACAATGACCAGCAGCCACACTAGCTTGTCACTGTACAACAACCTCCACCACCCCACTGACATGCGCCCTCACCAACCCGTCACCACACAACCACTCCCCAGTGATCGATGCCCTAACCAGCCCACCACTACATAACCAGTGTCTACCACCCCTAACCCTCACTAGATCATCATTACACAACCACCCTAACCGCTACCCTGCTGTTGCTACCTCCCCCTGCACCGCCATTGCCCCACCCCTTCCCTCGCTTCCCCAACCCCCTCACCACCATTGCCCCACCCTTGCCCTGCCCTGCTCCCCCCCCCAGGCGAATCCTAGTTGCTCCAATGCCACCATCAAAGAGAAACCGTAGTTTTTGTGCCTTCGCAGCCATCCCCGATCTGAAACCCCCTACATGTCACTGCCATCTGCTCAACATCTCCATCCCGTGATGTGTGTTACAAGTTACAACTTATAAAAACTCTGATCTGCTTGTCCTCAAAATTAATGAAGTCGGAGTACTCGTAAGATCTGTGAAGCAGCCGCCACCCCTAGTGAGGGCGGTCATCGATTCAGTCAAGGTCATGTCATATATTCCAAGTGCTTCCAGCATGGGTGGTGTTGGTGTGCGTTGACAGCCTTGACATACCCAGAGAGAAAAACGAAGGGCATGGGGATGGTCCACGATGAAGAAGAACCTAATAGCAAAGGAGTGATCTACTCCAACGACAGTATCAGAGCGGTTGATGAACTATGCCGGCGACTCTTGAGATGGTGAGTGACGAGAGCAGGAGTTTAGCGCAAGGCAATGGATGCAAAAGGATTGGGCATTGGCAGCTAGAAATGAAAGCTGGAGATGGGAGAGGGACATTAGGCTTAGGGCATTTTACCATTTCAAATTAATGTAATCACTTGTTCATCCCGGACGAAAATTGGTCCTATTTTTATCCATTCAAAAGCTAATAGTTCTAGTTTTTCCAAAAGTATTCTTGGACATTTAATTTTTTTTAACTAGAAACAAGAAAGAAATGGGAGAAATTAGGAATACAAATAGGAATTCTTCCTTAAATATTACAACGTACTAATTAAATATTAATTATTGTGAAAAATTATGATATTCAAGTCTGTTTAAATAACAGATAAAGGATATTACAGATTTGTGAATCTCATGATAGTTAACAATCTATTAAGCTAATAATCCGCAAGAAAATCCATAAAGGGAAATAGGCACCAAATAAAATGGAGTACAGTAAAACGACTGGTTCAAACTAGATAAATTATTTCAGATCCCGAACTAAATTATTTATTAATTTCTAATGTAAGCAATAATTAGAAATGTAAACATCTGTAAAAAAAATGTCTGATTTTTTGCGCTAATTGATTCCTTAGCAGTTTCTAAGATAAAATCAAACGTATGAAACTAAACTCCCTTGGAATTCTTTCCCTTCCATTTCCTAGCAATTTGCTTATTTGCATGACCCTAACATACCCTGAGAGCATCAGTTTTTGAGAAAACAGTCCACATTATAAAAATTACCCTATCTGATAGGCAGTGCATCGGTCCAAGCCGGTTGAAGTAACCCATGAATCGCCACAAAAGAAATTACGGCCTCCGACAACTACTGCTACCTAGAGTAACAAACCACATACATATAGTAAAACACAAAATCAAAATGCATGGGTTTTTAAGTAAACTACACTCTTAAGGAAAAGCTTTTGAATGATACCTCAACTCCAACACGACATGCAATGGAAATTTCTTTAGCTATCAGCATGGCCACCTGTTATAGTAACAATTGAAGTTGGTACTCATACACCAGAAGACACAAATGTTTACAAATTCACACTCATTAGCCCAAGTTGTAACTAAATCAACTGATGGCAGATTCAACATTTTAAATCGTAGGACAAAAAAGTATATAGCTACCTTTGGATCAATGTTGTTCTGCGTAGTTCCAGATAGAGCAGCACCGCTAATCTTAAAAATAACTCTCCTCCATCTGGGACCACCAGATGATTTGAGCTTTATGTTGTTGACTTGAGCCCCGGGACAAGAATTTGCAGTTCCATATCTGAGAAGTCAAATAAGTTCAGATTCAACTGATTATCCATACTCAAAGGAGTCAAAGCATAGATCCAAAATTCTAAACTTCCAATCAAGAACACCATGAATTGGCCAGCAAAAATATGGACAGCCAAGAGTTTTGGGCTTTGTTACTCTAGATTAGTCCACCTTCAAAAATGAATCACTGGGATAAAACGATAGAAAATTTATACTCAGAATAACCATCAAGGTCACATTTTTAATCTACATAAAAATTGCAAACTTGAATGAGAAAAGCCACAACAATCTTAACAGTCCCTAGCTGACCATCAGCTCGCATATGGAAAGCAATAACCTAATGTAGTATTTATATCAGATGATGATTAGATCAACACAATCACATTAGATCAGCTAAAAGATGCACTACCTCTTGGACTGTCTAGGGGAGATGCCAGATTTTTCCTCCTCAACTAATGTTGCTTTTGCAGACAAAGAGTTTCCTACTATCTGTTCCATCTGTTTGAACCACGGCCAGTGGCTTGCAGAAACGCTGCCGTTGGTCATTCGATGTCTCTCCAGCTTATACCTCTTCTTCAAATTATCAACCTTGTTCTTACACTGCTCGACGCTCTTCGTTTGTTTCTCACACCTATCGCTTACCATCGCCGCGACATCTTCCCAATCCCTCCCCCTCAAATTGCCTCTGTTGAGCTGCATGAACTTCTCTGAGTATGCCTCCAGAAGGCACGCGATGGCTGTGTCGCTCCATTCCTCCCTGTCCTTGCGATACTCTGCACTTCCGACCCCACCGCTAGTGGCCACAGACGTGACGAGTTTTGCCCTTTTGTAGGCGTAAGGAACTCCGTTTTCACTGATATCTTCTTGCTCCAGACGCTTAACGTTGGCTCGAGATCTACTCGGGTCGGGCTCTGGGTCATAGTGGTTGGTATCGTTGTCGTAGGGATTTATGCCGACCACATGATACGACGACGAATTGCTATCTTTTGGATCCGGCGGCGAGCAGAAGGCTCCTCCATCGGTGTAACCTTCGCCCTCGGTTGACACGACATCGTTGTCGCCGGAAATGTCCTTCGGGCTGCCGCCGTGAATAGGAATTTGACATGCCTTGTAGCGGTGAGATGGAAAGGGTCGGTGGTGGTGATTGTGGAAAAGAGGCTTAACGTGGGGAGTTGGGGCGGTGGGAGAGGCGTTATCGTCACCGAGGAGAGGGAAATCGTCGTCACAGGAGGCCATCCGAGAAACGTTAGTGCCGTGGATCTCGCGCAGAGAGACGGAACGTTGAGGGTCACCGTTACGGTAACCTGAAATACGCGATGCCGTGTATATGGATGGGGGCGTGGAACCGTTAGAAGCAGCAGCACAGTAGTCATGGGCATTTACGTCACCACCACTCCATCGTTTTTTATCAAATGTTTTTCCACCTCAACAAATATTTTCCTCGAGTTTTTCCTAAAATAATGTCAAATAAAAAAATATTCCCTAAAACAAGGTTAGATTAAAAGTATTTTTCAAAATACTGCTCCCCTGAATCCTTGTTAAGAGAGCTGGCGGCTTATATACGATCCAAGAAACGCAAGAGGAATCTCATGAGATGGTCCCCACTAATAAATGAAATCCCATTTTTATTTAAAATTGATATAACTTTTTTAATTGTGGTCTGATTCTTATAAAAAATATATCAAAATTTATAATTTTTTATTACCTTTCATATGACACCAATATTCAATATATAAAAACAAAAAAATAATTTAGCACTTTAAAAATATTTTTGTAAATGTTATATTTTTTTATTTGTACTCCGATTATTACAAAAAATATATCTAAATTCATAACGTTTTCTTACTTTTCATAAGACACTAATTTTGAAGATAGAAAAATTTAAAAATTAATTCTATTAATTTATGGAGTTTATGATCGCTTTTTACCGTGCACACAATTAAATAGTAGTGATATTTTATAATAAAACCGCACAAAGAACAAAACAATAAATAAAGGTGATGGAGTATGTGCAGTTTTATTCTAAGCTATCTCTCCTAATTAATTGTTTGCACGCTAAAATCGATCATTACTAATTAATTGTGTGCACGGTAAAAAGTGATCATAAACTCTATAAATTAATAGAATTAATTTTTAATTGTTCTGTCTTCAAAAATAGTGTCTTATGAAAGATAAGAAAACATTATAAATTTAGATATATTTTTTTTAACAATTGGAGCACAAATAAAAAAGATATAACATTTACAAAAATATTTCAAAAGTGTTAAATTATTTTTTAATTTTTATATATTGAATATTTGTGTCATATGAAAGGTAATAAAAAGTTATGAATTTTGATATATTTTTTATAAGAATCAGAGCACAAATAAAAAATTTATATTAATTTTAAATAAAAATGGGATTCCATTTATTGGTGGGCACCATCTCATTTCTCTTCCTCCCGCCTGATTCCTCTTGCGTTTCTTGTTTCGTATATAAGCCGCCACTCGAAGTGGCGACTCTCTTAACAACAGTTTAAGAGAGCAGTATTTTGGGAAATACTTTTAACCTAACCTTATTTTGGAAAATATTTTTTTATTTAACATTATTTTAGGAAAAAACTCATTTTCCTGTGTTTTTGTTTTTACCCGATACGCATACCCTTGATCGGTGGGGCAAATGTGAGGCACATTTGTCAGGTTTTCCTCAAACAAAAATAATTTAGAATAAGAGAGGATGACCAAGCCCAAACTTCTCTCGAAAAGGGTAGTGTTTCTAATCTAGGATCTGTTTGCAATAGCTTTTTTTTTAGAACAACTAGTCTTCTTTTCATATCATAAGTTTCAAGATCATTACATCAATCAAAAGGAAAAACAACTCTATCACCAACTAAACTCTAACAACTATGACTGTAAACTCTATGATCAGACTTAGAGACGGTCACCCCTAAAAAAGTAACACGAATCGCTAACTATGTAGCGGGTTTGATAACAAGAAACCAAATGACAAAATAGTAATAACTAATAACTAATAGAAAACTTTCACAAACCCTAGCATACCCTTGATCGGTGGGGCAAATGTAACACTGTCCCCAAATATATCTACCTTTATGCAAATTGTGTATTGAACATTGTGTATTGAGTAATGAATTTACGAGGTTGTAAATTTTTGTTATTTCTTGTGCGTGAATAGTAAATTCGACGCGGGGCCCACACTGGGAGCGGGGGGCCACCCGATAACCCGAAGACCGTGTATTATATTTGTAACACCCCGGCCCCACCGGACCCGAGGTAGTTACTCCGGACCAATAGTACTGTCCCCACAAACCACCACGAGCCTTTACCGCGCACTTTGTCCTCACTCATGCGACGCACTTTGTCCTCACTCATGCGCGCCCTGAGAAACTTCCCAGGGGGTCACCCATCCCAAGACTACTCCCGTGCAAGCACGCTTAACTTTGGAGTTCTTGGGTGATGAGCTCCCTTAAAAGGAGATGCACCTCTGTTGGTATGAGTAGTACTATTAATCCTCTTATATTAATCTCGGGTATTACAATCACCCCCACTTAGGATCGCAACGTCCTCGTTGCGCCCTTAAACCAATCTCAATCAAATCCCAGAAACTTTTTCCCTGCTAGGTGTCTGCCCGATATCCAACGGATCAGCACACTGTCGCAGGGTTGCTCTGATACCATTTGTAACACCCCGGCCCCACCGGACCCGAGGTAGTTACTCCGGACCAATAGTACTGTCCCCACAAACCACCACGAGCCTTTACCGCGCACTTTGTCCTCACTCATGCGCGCCCTGAGAAACTTCCCAGGGGGTCACCCATCCCAAGACTACTCCCGTGCAAGCACGCTTAACTTTGGAGTTCTTGGGTGATGAGCTCCCTTAAAAGGAGATGCACCTCTGTTGGTATGAGTAGTACTATTAATCCTCTTATATTAATCTCGGGTATTACAATATTCATCTTAGTATAGATAATAGTTGTATGGTGGTGTAAATTTATGTTGGGTCATAGGAAAGACATTGGGTTGGCCGGTTGGTCAAACAGGGCCCAATTACTAGTACTGATAATTTACCAGATAACAGCCCGAAACGAAGTTCGAAGACTTATAAATTAAACTTGAGGAACGTGTATTCATTATAAGGGCCCATAATGAGTAAGAACAAGTATTATATTTTATTTGGCTTGATAAAATAAAATATAATTAAAACAGTCCAAAAAATACAACTTTCGGGACCGATTGCACATTTTAGGACAAGAGAGGATGACCTCCCACATGGGTGGGGTCCACCCCACATTTTTGAGAGCTCAAGGTTGACTTTGGGGGCTGCACAACATTTCATGGGTGGTTGACATGGGTTGAGAGTGAAGGTTGGGTAAGAGGTGACCTAAGGTGGGCATTTCCCTTCACTCATTTGCCTATTGAGACAAAGGAAGGTCTCCTCACTCCCCATCCTCCTATTATTTCGGCCACCCCTATTCCAGCAAGAGAGAGAGACTCTCAATACTCATATCCTCCATTGTTGAAGCTATTCAAGCAAGGAGTTTAAGGAAAGAGCTAAGTGGGTATATTAGAGAGGAAAACTTGAGAAAAGAAGGTAAGGACCTTATTAAGACTTTTCTTTCGTCCATACAACATCATATAAATTGTTCACCATATGAAGTACCCCTAAGATTGCTCTACATGTTAAAAAGTGTAGAAAGAGGGGTTGGAAGGTGGTTCTAAGTCCAAGAACGGACTTAGAGGCCAGAGAGACCGGTTCGCCGGAAAATGACCTTTTAGAGGTTATTTGTATTGATATTGGTTTTGTGATGATAAAACCTTGTTAGGAACTTGTCAAAGGTGATTCAAGAGCTTTCACGAAGTTGAAAGAGTCGCCGGAGTTTCGCCAGAGTTCAACCGAGAAGGGTAGAACTCCATAACGCTCATTCGAGGTGAGTGGACGGCTTAATGTCTTATAACTCTTGGGTTAAGTATGAGATTACCTAAATAAATGTTATAAGTATTCGTAATGATGTTTAAAAGAGTTTAAGCATGTGATTAGCCAAGGTGATTAGGCTTATGTGAATGAAACTACATGATTATGCATGTGGAAAGTAGAAAATGTATATAAAAACATATGTGATGTTTTGGATGGCCAAAAGGCATTTACTGATTGTTTTAGACATGATATAGGTTGTATAAAAATTTCGGATCAAACGGATCACATTTCGGAGGTCAACCCGAGGGTCAACGGGCCGTTGACCCAAAATTCCGACCATACCCGGCGCCGGGTATAGGGCATACCCGGGGCCGGGTAAGCTGCTGCCTCCATATTCCGTTTTTTCCGAAAACGTATATCCGAGCCGGGTTCGAAGGGGGATTGGCCCCGTACAACCTATTTGTGTATATTGTGCATGGAATATGGTATTTAAATGTAAAGGTTGATATCTATTGATTTAATTCTAAGACTTGGTTTAGTCTTTAGTAATAATATGATATAGACCCTATCTAGTGTGATATGTGATAAGTCATAGGTCGGGTGGAGTACCCAGGGATCGGGCGTGTATCCTCAAAACTCGGTTATAGGGTGGAGTACCAAAGGATCGGGCGTGTATCCTCAAAACTCGGTTATAGGGTGGAGTACCTAGGGATCGGACGTGTATCATATCCTCAAAACTCGGTTATAGTGTGGAGTACCTAGGGATCGGGCGTGTATCCTCAAAACTCGGTTATAGGGTGGAGTACCCAGGGATCGGGCGGGTATCCTCAAAACTCGGTTATAGTGTGGAGTACCTAGGGATCGGGCGTGTATCCTCAAAACTCGGTTATAGGGTGGAGTACCCAGGGATCGGGCGGGTATCCTCAAAACTCGGTTATAGGGTGGAGTACCCAAGGATCGGGCGTGTATCCTCAAAACTCATAGATTGAGGGTTTAATGCACCAAACCCCCTCGTGAAATAAAAATTCGGCGCATTAGCCCCCTGTGATTTAAAAAATGCGTCAAACCCCCCTGTGTTATGATTAATCATGCGCCAAACCCCCTCTAAGAACAAATTTAATTTCCAAAAAAATGAAAAATGGTTAGTTTTTTTGAATAATTTAGAAATTTTGACAAAGTTACTTGCATATTCAACCATATTATTAAAAAAAATGATTTCAAAATTTTAAACTTTGTTCTTGGAGGGGGTTTTGCTCATGATTTATCATAACACAGGGGGGTTTGGCGCATTTTTTAAATCACAAGGGGTTAATGCGCCGAATTTTTATTTCATGAGGGGGTTTGGTGCATTAAACCCCCTTATGATAATTGATTTGAACAAGGAGGAGTTCTATACACTCATAGGCATATGGGTGGGTTGGGATTTAGGTCAAGGATATTGACTACTATTATTTTCCCAAATAAACAATGACCTATGGGTCGGGTATTTCCAAGTGTATATATACTTAT